CCTGCACTCTGCCTAAAGTTTGGGTATGTGCCTCAGCATTGGTTTCAATCTCCCTTTGGGTAGAGCCTTTCAGAGGATCTCTATGGTAGGTGAGTATATACCACGTATGTCTTTCTGGGTCTGGGATACATCATTCAGGATGTTCTTTTCTAGTTCTATATATTTGCCTGCAAATTCCATGATTTCCTTGTTTTTAATAGCTGAGTAGTGTTCCATTGTGTAACTGTACCATAATTTCTGTATTCATTCTTTGGTTGAGGGGCATCTAAGTTGTTTCCAGATTCTGGCTATTACAAACAAAGCTGCTGTAAACATGGTTGACTAAATGTCCTTGTTGCACAGTGTAGTATCTTTCAGGTATATACCCAGAAGTGGTATGGCTGGATCATGAGGTAGCACTATTCCCAGTTTTCTGAGAAAGCTCTAGATTGATTTCCAAAGTTGTTTTACAAGTTTGTACTTCCACCAGCAATGGAAAGCTGTTTCCCTTTCTCCACATCCTCTCCAAAGTGTACTGTCCCTTGCTTTTTTGATCTTAGCCATCATGATGGGTGTAAGACGGGTAGAAAAAGACTGTTGGATCAATGGAATCTAAGACCCAGAAATAAACACACACACCTACGATCACCTGATTTTTGACAAAGATGTCAAAACCATGCAATGGAAAAAGATAACATCTTGAACAAAAGATGCTGGTCTAACTGGATGTCCATGTAGAAAATTGCAATTAGACCCATTTATATATAAATGGGTCTATCTATCTATCTATCTATCTATCTATCTATCTATCTATCTATCTATCTTTATCACCCTGCACAAAACAGAAACTCACCTAAACAGAGATTATATACAGAAGTTTCTGTCACTGGCAAAGCCAGAAGAACAAGGAATATTTTCTTGAGATCAGTGAAATTACCATCATCCCCAAGTTGACCATATTTAATTTGGAGTGTGCTGCTTATAATTTCAATGCCTAGTGTGACAGTCATGTCCTAATTAGACCATGTACAGTGGCTACTGATGTTCTATGAATTATAATGGATATTACTATGAAACAGCTTTATCATATTGATGTGAATTATTACAGAAGAAATTAACACATAACCACATGATAATATTTTATTATCATATCTGGCTTATTTAAGTAGAGACTTGCTCCCTCTTTTCTTCCTCTATCCCATTTGCCTTTCTGAAAGAGGACGGAGCATCTTACCCAGGGTCCTCCTTCTTGCTTGGCTTCTTCAGGAGTATAGATTTTATTTGTTTATATTATATTATATATCTATTATCTACTTATAAGTGAGTATATAGCATGTGTGTCTTTCTGCTTCTGGGATAGCTCACTCAGGATGATCTTTTCTAGTTCCCACCATTTGTCTACAAATTTCATGATTTCCTTGTTTTTAATTGCCGTGTAGTATTCCATTGTGTAAATGTACCACGATTTCTGTATCCATTCCTCAGTTGAGAGACATCTGGATTATTTCCAGATTCTGGCTATTACAAATAAAGCTTCTATGAACATGGTTGAGCAAATGTCTTTGTTTTATACTTGAGTATCTTTTGGATATATGCCTAGGAGTGGTATAGCTGGATCTTGAGGTAGCACTATTCCTAATTGTCTGAGAAAGTGCCAGATTGATTTCCAAAGTGGTTGTACAAGTTTACATTCTCACCAGCAATGGAGAAGGGTTCTCCTTTCTTCACATTCTCTCCAGCAGAAGCCTAGCACAGACAAATGTCCTTGTTGTGTACTTGAGTCTCTTTTGGGTGTAGCCCTTGACAGCTCAGTCTTCAAGTGGGTTCCTTAGTAAAGGGAGCAGGGATTGTCTCTGACATGAACTCAGTGGCTGGCTCTCTGATTGCCTCCTCCTGGGGGCAGAGCTGCCTTGCAGGCCACAAAGGAAGACAATGCAGCCAGTCCTGATGAGACCTGATAGGCTAGGGACAGATGGAAGGGGGGGACCTCCCCTATCAGTGAACTGGGGTAGGGGAGAAGAGGGAAGGAGGATAGGATTGGGAGGGGAGGGTAGAGGGGTCTACAGCAGGAATATAAAGTGTAAAATAAAAATGTAGGGACTTCCAAACCAAAGATCATTGCATTTGTGTTTTAAATTTCTGAGAGTTTTCTACAGCTATTCCTTTCATAGACACACCCTTCTCTAAATATAGGTTTTGAAATTTAAAGTCTTATATGTAAATGTTTTTATTTCCTCAGAGGATAGCTGCGTACAAGCTGTGCGAATACATGGGTTGGGCTGAGCCCCGAGCATTTCTTTCTCTATTCCAGGGATCCCTAGGCCTAGGCCTGGAAACTTCTAGCTTTGTACAATCTATCTTCTTTAACCCAAACCTTGAGGTCTTCAGCTGCCAGCCTCCATCTGCTGACCTAGGCTTAAAATGTTTAAGCCCCTGAGACTCATGGCTGAATAAACTTCCCTTCTCTAGCTCCTTCTGAACTCTAGGTGGCTCATTTAACTTAGCTGCTCCAGCCAAAAACACCTCTCCAAACTGAATGATTCAAACTTGCTTCTCTCAGCTTCTGACAGAATTGCTCTGCTTGCCCTCAAACTAACTCTGGCAATAATGTCTACTAGCTCCTTCTCATTCTCTGGCTCATTCGGTTTTCTTCTGTGTCTAGCTTGTTCTCTCTCCATCCTATCTCTGTAAAACTGGACAGTTTTACACAACACAATACAACACAACATAACACAACACAATACCTCTTCTTCTCTCAGTAAAACCCTCTCTCCTTTCTCCCAGTGCTACTCTTAAGTAGCTTCTCTTTCCTGTGGTGTTCTCCTCAAAGTTGAGTGTTTCCTACCTCTGACTCATTCTGCCAAATCTTTCTCTGATTCATCACTTTGCCCTTCACATAGAAGTTGCTTTCAAACTTGGGTGCTCCCTTCTGCACAGTAACCTTATCGTCACCATCAGGGTTTAAAGGTGTATGCTATGGGCATGTCAGTATTTCAGCCAGATTACACAGATGTAGAAGGTCTTTGGATATAATCCTTTGCCAGAGGAGCCATGTTACTGGGTTAAAATTGCCCTGCACTTACACATGGGTTATATTCCCCTTTACAATCTAACTACTTATATTGCAAACATATGATTCAAGGATAATACCGGCAATATATATATATATATATATATATATATATATATATATATATACACAGACACAAGCTTCAGCTTCTATAGAGAATTACAGACATTTTTAAGGATGTGTTTATGTTATAGCCTAATAAGACACCAGAAAAAAAATACCTAGAAAATGTCAGTACCTTCTAATTTTCCCACCTTTTCATTTTAGTTTCAAGATATTTGTCTTGGCACCAGCATCATATCACCGTTGTTAGCACCATGAAGCATGGATGTGAATACTTGGAAAGAGTTTCCCAATATTTTATTAATCAGATGTATTGTGTGAATACACTTGTTAAGGGCATGTTTCAAGTTGTATTTTTACCATTGCTTGTATCGCATCCAGTATAATTACAGCTTTCTTAGGCGTGGAAAAAAAAGAGAGTTTACACAGAGAAAGTAGTGGCTTTGCATCGGATTTCATACTGGACACATCTTCCTAACTGCTTTTAATGTGAGCTAAGCAATACCTGTTTCATCTGTCCAAAATCTGAACATGTATGTCCGCATGTCTACTGATTTACTTTACTCCTTTCTTTACCCTAAGCAATCAGTCACAGATTACCTAACTAATACATTTTTTTCTTCAGTTATTTCAGTACATATATTATTTAGTGGCTGATCATGTACAGCCCAGAATGCAAACCATTTTAATCTTAGACATTCATCCAAAACTAATATTGGCTTAAAATGCATTAAAATTACTTTCTTATGGTTCTTGAAGAGTAACAATTAGGGAAGTTAATAAATACTTAAGCTATAGAAAAATGCAGAGAATATGAGCAATTGATGGTTTTGAAGTGGTACAAAACATACAGTTGCCTCTAAATATCAGTTTGCATAGTTTCTGCTCATGTAGGAAGTGATCTCAAAGCACTTTAATGACATTATCCATTCACAACGTGATGCAAGCAATCATGAAATGGGAAAAGATACCACACACTTTCTATATCTGAAAGAATATGCTTTTTTAATATCTTTATTTTTTTATATTAATTACAGTTTATTCACTTTGTATCCCAGCTTTAGCCCCCTCCCTCATTCACTCCCAATCACACCCTCCATCTCTCATCTCCTCCCATGCCCCTCCCCAAGTCCACTGATAGGGGAGGTCCTCCTCCCCTTCCATCTGACCCTAGCTTATCAGGTCTCATCAGGACTGGCTGGCTACATTGTCCTTCTCTGTGGCCTAACAAAGCTGATGCTTTTTAAGACCTCGAAGTGATTTTGAATTGGTATTAGAGTACTAACAGGTACTCTATTGAGGTACCCTGTTAGTATTCAGGTACAAAATTGAGCTTCAAGAATAATGTAGGATGACAGGTTGTGGTGACAAGTGGAATAGGACCAGTTCTGTAAAATTCAATTAGCCCCTTCAAAATATTTCCTCAGCTTGCCTGCTATCTGTCTAGAGTGACTGTTAATGAAATTATTGATATACATGTCTTGCTATATGATACAGGAAAGTGGAAAATTTGGGGAGAGTAGATAAAGATTAAAGGTTTTCCTAATCCTAATTTTCTCTTAATAGTCTGTATCTATTAATTATTATATGTTAACTTGTTCTCTTTCTATTAAACTCTAATAGTTACCAGAGAAGATGTGTTACTATCGAATGTGGTTTAAAAAGGAAAGGGTAATGATGTAATTATATGTTAATTAAAATAAAAATGTTAGAAACTAAATAAAAAGAGAATGAATCAAACATGCATCTGTTATTCCTTTTGTCTGGCTGTGAGTAACTGAGTGTTGCACTGATGTTATTGTGATACTCTGGGCTAGAAGGAATTTGCTAGAGTTACTCCATGTTTAACTGATGCCTTAGATCTGTATTTGGTTTCAATTTATTTCAGTGATCGGTGATGATGGACTTTATATCCTACTGAAGGGCCGGGCTCGACCTCGTGTGAAGGAGCTAAGAAGTCTGTGTAATAATAATGGCTCAGTCATCCCTGCAATTCCCAAGGAAGGCACAGCTTTTGATGCAGAATTAAAAACCTCCACAATGTCGGAGCTATACCTGCCTTCGCAGGAACTTATAGTAAGAGGCTTTAGTTCTTATAAACACAGATAAAAATATTACAAAATTTTTATTTCTTAGATTTGTGGGTGCCAAAATCTTCAGGCATTTAAATTGGCCAAATAATATATCCTTAAAATATGAATGCTAGTCCTGCTGTGGAACTTAATGCTTTATTGAAATTTTTAATGAAGAAGCCTTCTGCAGCATATCACACACTTGCAGTGGTTACGTAGCATGTTTGATACCATGGCAAGATAGGCATTGCTGATTCAAAGAAGTATATTAACTTGGGGTGAAGAAGTTGGAGCAAATGACTTGAGTGGGGACAGACAAGGTAAGTAACGTGCCTTCAAATCAAAGCCAAAAACGTGTTTTTATTATGTTTTTCTTTATTATTATTTTATTTATTACAATTCATTCACATTGTACCTTGGCTGTAGACTCCTTTCTTATCCCTTCCTGGTCCAGCCCTCCGCACCCCCATGTTCTTTTCCTAGTCCACGGGAGGTCCTCCTCTACTATCTGACCCAAGCCTATCAGGTCTCATCAGGACTGTCTGGATCCTCTTGCTCTGTGGCCTAGTTAGGCTACCTTGACAGGAGGAGGTGATCAGAGAGCAGGCAACTGAATTCACGCCTGTGACTGTCCCTTCTCTTCTTATTAGAGAATCCACATGGAGACTGAGCTGCCTATGGGCTACATCTGAGCAGAGGATTTAGGTCCTCTCCATGCACGGTCCTTGGTTGATTCATCAGTCTCTGCAGGACTGCCTGAGCCCAGATATTTTGTCTCTGTTGGTCACCCTGTGGAGCTGCTGTCCCTTCCAGGTCTTTCTATCTCCCTTTTCTTCCATAAGATTCCTTGCAATCTGCTCAAAGTTTGGCTATGAGTCTCAGCATCTGCTTTGATACCCTGGTGGGTAGTCTTTCAGAGGTCTCCTATGGAAGGCTCCTGTCCTGTTCCCTGTCTTCTCCTATTTCTGATATCTATCCTGTTTGCCCTTCACAATGAGGATTAAGCCTCTTCCTTAGGCTCCTCCTTGTTTTTAGCTTATTTAGAACTAAAAATTTTAGTATGGTTATCCTATATTATAGGGCTAATATCTGCTTATAAGTGAGTGCATATTCCATGTGTGTCTTTCTTTTTTAGGGTTACCTCACTCAGGATTATCTTTTCCAGCTCCATCCATTTGCCTGAAGATTTCATGATTTACTTGTTTTTAATTGCTGAGTGGCTTTCCATTGTGTAAATGTACCACATTTTTTTTTACATTTTTTTAAAATTTATTTTTAATTATGCTTTATTCACATTGTATCCCACCTGTAGCCCTCTTCTCTCATCCCCTTCCAGTCTTTTCTTTCTTTCTTTCTCTTTCTTTCTTTCTTTCTTTCTTTCTTTCTTTCTTTCTTTCTTTCTTTCTTTCTTTCTTTCTTTCTTTCTTTCCTTCCTTCCTTCCTTCTTTCTCTCTCTCTTTCTTTCTTTTTTATTAGCTACATTTTATTAACTCTGTATTCCAGCAATATCCTGCTTTCTTATTCCCTCCCAAACCCTCCCTCCCTCCCTCATCTCCTCCCTGCCCCTTTCCAAGTCCACTGATTGGGGAGAACCTCCTCCCCTTTCATCTGACCCTGTTTTATCAGGTATCTTCAGGACTGGCTGCAAAATCCTCCTCTGTGGCCTAGCACAACTCTCCTCCCTTGGGGGGTTGGGGAGGTCAAAGAGCCTGCCACTGAGTTCCTGTCAGAAATGGTCCCTTTTCCCCTTACTATGGTAAACCAATTGCTTACTGAGCTACTACAGGCTTCATCTGAGCAGAGGTTCTAGGTTATATCCATACATGGTCCTTGGTGGAGTTTCAGTCTCAGAGAAGACCCCTTCACCCAGATATATTTGGTCCTTGTAGAGCTCCTATCCTTCCCACGTCATACAAACTCCCCATTCTTTCATATGGTTCCCTGCACTCTGCCGAAGGATTGGTTATGAGTCTTAATATCTGCTTTGATACACTGCTAGGAGAGTTTTTCAGGGGCCCTTTGTGGTAGGCTCCTGCCCTGTTACTTGTTTTCGCCTATGTCAAATGCACCTACCATTTGTCTTTCTAAGTGAGGACTGATCATCTTACCCTGGGTCTTCTTTCTTGTTTATCTTCTTTAGGTGTATAGATTTCATTATGTTGATCATATCTTATAGGAATATGTGAATGAGTATATACCATGTGTGTCTTTCTCCTTCTGGGATACCTCACTCAGAATGATCTTTCCTAGATCCCACCATTTGCCTGAGAATTTCATGATTTTTTCGTTTTTGATTGCTGAGTAGTATTCCATTGTGCAAAAATACCACAAGTTCTGTACCCATTCCTCCATTGAGGGACATCTGGGTTGTTTTCCAGGTTCTGGCTATCACAAATAAAGTTGCTACAAACATGGTTGAGCAAATATCCTTGTTGTGTACTTGAGCAAATTTTGGGTATATGCCTAGGAGTGATATAGCTGGATCTTGGGGAAGCACTATTCCTAATTGTCAAAGAAAGCACCAGATTGGAGGAGGGCTCCCCTTTCTCCACAACCTCTCCAGCATGTGTTGTCACTTGAGTTATTCATCTTGGCCATTCTGATGGGTGTCAGGTGAAATCTCAGTGTCATTTGATTTGCATCTCCCTGATGGCTAAGGGTGTTAAGCATCTCCTTAAGTTTCTCTGCCATTCTGTATTTCTCTACAGAGAATTCTCTGTACCAAGAGAATTAGCTCCGTATCCCATTTTTTTTTTAATTGAATTACTTGATTTGTTGCTTTTAATTTCTTTAGTTCTTTATATATTCTGGATATCAGCCCTCTGTCAGATATAGGGTTGGTGAAGATCCTTTCTCAGTCCGTAGGCTGTTGTTTTGTTCTGATAACAGTGTCTTTTGCTTTACAGAAGCTTTTCAGTTTCATGAGGTCCCATGTATTGATTGTTGTTCTTAGAGCATGTGATGTTGGTGTTCTTTTCAGGAAGTTGTCTCCTGTGCCAACGAGTTCTAGGCTGTTCCCCACTTTTTCTTCTAACCGATTTAGAATATCTTGTTTTATGTTGAGGTCTTTGATCCACTTGGTCTTTAGTTTTGTGCAGGGTGATAAATATGAATCTATTTTCATTTTTCTGTATGTAGACATCCAGTTGGACCAGCACCATTTGTTGAAGATGCTGTCTTTTTTCTATTGAATGATTTTGGCTTCTTTGTCAAAAAAAAAATGAGTATTCATAGGTGTGTGGGTTTATTTCTGGGTCTTCTATGTGGTTCCATTGATCCTCCTTTCTGTTTCTATGCCAATACCATGGAGTTTTTATTACTATTGCTCTGTAGTACAGCTTGAGTTCGGGGATGGAGATACCTCCAGGAGATCTGTTGTTGTACAGGATCGTTTTGGAGATGCTGGGTTTTTTGTTTCTCCATATGAAGCTGAGAATTTTTCTTTCAAGGTCTATAAAGAACTAAGTTGGTATTTTGATGGGAATTGCATTGAATCTGTAGATTGCTTTTGGCAGGATGGCCATTTTTACAATGTTAATCCTACCAATCAATGAGCATGAGAGATCTTTCCATCTTCTGATATCTTCTTCAATTTCTTTCTTCAGAGACTTAAAGATTTTTCCAAACAGGTCTTTCACTTGCTTGGTTAGAGTCACCCCTTGGTATTTTATGTTATTAGTGGCTATTGTGAAGGGTGTTGTTTCCCTGATTTCTTTCTCAGCTCTTTTGTCTTTGGTATACAGGAGGGCTTCTGATTTTTTTGAGTTGATTTTGTATCCTGCCACTTTGCTGAAGGTGTTTATCAGCTGAAGGAGTTCTCTGGTTGAATTTTTGGGGTTTCTCATGTATACTATCATATCATCTGCGAATAGTGACACTTTGACTTCTTCCTTTCCAATTTGTATCCCCTTGATCTCCTTTAGTTGTCTTATTGTCTTATTGCTTTAGCAATACTGTGTTCATTTTATTTGTCACTACCAACATGTAAGACTATCAATGAAAGAGTTGTATACTGACCATTTGAACCCTTCTTTCATCAACAACAAATATATTTTAATTTTGACTATATGTCAAATATTTACCTGGCACTTAAAAGGACAATAACAAGGAAATATCCTTTCTTATGGCATTTTCTTTATATTGCTGAAAAACAGAAAATTTTGTGTTGAGGAAAAGGCATGTTTGGAGACACATGAACCATCCAGGCTGAGATGAAGGACCCTTCTTCCGTAGTAATGCAACTAGGAATGCAACTGTCTTGCAGACTCCCTTAGACTCTTGACATAGTTCTCACTGGTGTCTGTGTGTTAATGAATAGTGATGAAGTCTGCCTGCATCTTGATGCTTTTCACAGCTGAAAAAATGGAACACATTTGGATCACTGAAATTTATTCCTAAGGCTGAAATGGATGGAACTCTGCATTCAGTTGTGACAGAGGATGACTGCGAAATCCTTAAGATTCCTACAAAGGAGTATGAGAAGTTAAAATCAGTATGTGTTGCACTTCTATTTTACTTTTGAAATTTGACTTGATCATAGAGAACATAAATTGTGGTTTACTTGAGGAGCAGCATTCAGAAACTCCTTTCAGTATGTGGCATGAAAATACTTTTTATGAATTTCAAATTAATTAATTCATTCATTCAGCAAATACATAGCTTATATGTTGATAGCTTCTACTGTGATTGGGGGCATAGAATGACTGGATAGGTCACACAACTATTACTTTCAAGATCTCAACAGTCTGTACCAGTCTCCCTGCAGAATCTGTGCTGGTCACTTTCTGTCAACTTGAAACAGACCTGTTGGAAGAGGGAATCTTAGTTGAAGAATTGCCTCCATCACATGGATCCGTGGCTATTTCTGAGGGGCATATCCTCAACTGCTAATTAATGTATGAGGACCCACTTCACCGGGGGCCCCATTCCTGGGCAGGTGGCCTGGGCAATAGCCAAGTCAGCTGGAATAGCAAGCCAGTATTCAGTGTTGTTTGTTGTTGTTGTTCCTGCCTCCAGGTTCCTGCCCTGAGTTGCCCTGGCTTCTCTAGATGATGGGCTGTATCTTATAAGCCGAAATAAGTGATCCCTTCCTCAAGTTGCTTTGGGTTATTTTATTTCATCACAACAACAGAAAAGCAAACTAAGAAGGCTTGGTGTAATAATTCAGAGTCACACAGATTTTCAAATTCAGGGCTGAGTGAAAAGACATTTAAACTTAATTCTGAGCATTCAACTCTGCTGTTTAAGGCAATCTGTTCATGTAAATTTGTTTTCCCTGGTCTAAATCAAAACTGCCCACCCCCACTTCATTTAGAGGTTAGAGGAAGTTTACCTAAAGGATGGGGTTGGGAGGTCACCATAGTCTTTTTGACAGTTCTAATGCAGGCCCAGGGCCGTCATGGTATTTGCAGGTCCAGTGCTCATGCTGGAAGGTGAAGATGTATCTCTCTTCTTACTTTGTGATGATCTCAGAGAAATGTGACTTTTCCAGAATTCAGCATTTTCCTAAATACCAGATACCAATATGTTTGAATTTCAGAGTGGTTCTCTTAAAAATATTTTTCTTGTTTTGTTTTTTCCCTTATGAGAAATAATCACATGAACACATACATAAACACAGACACACACACGTCATTTGAGACTTGTTTAGAACAGCTTTAGAATGTGTTCATTTTTATGGAAATGTAAAACATTATGGAACAATTGAGAATATTGGTGAACAAATCTGAAGATTAGAAACTCAGTATAGCTATTTGTCATAGTGAAAACCAAATGCTACTCAAAATTATCTTTTATTGAGTAATAGCCACATAGCCATTATTTTCTTTTTTCTGCCATTTTTCTTTTTGTTATTTTTTGTTAATTTTTAAATTATATCATTTTGAAATATGATAATGGAATTCTTTTTCAGGAAAAAGAAAGACAGGAAAATCTGCTAAAATTGAAATTAATCCACAAGTGTCCTTTTTATGAACACTGGCCTACTTTGTACATATGTGATCTAGTTTCACTTTGTAAACGGAAGCATTTTCCTCCAGGTCAAGGTAAGTTTAATTCAATTTTAGACTTGTTTCTTCATGTAAAGTTATATTATTGGATATGTAATTCTTTTTAGTTTCAATATTTTAAATAATACAAATGATATATCTTCATATAGGCGTCCTCTTACTGAATTCTTAACTATGAATTGGATATTTAAAATACTTCCATCTTTAATTAAAAAGTAAGCATGTTTTGCTTCAAGAGAAGCTTGAGTCCAGGCCCACATTTTGTATCTCCCTCCAATCTCCAGCTCTCCACACTTCTATTCCTGCATACTGAGAATTACATTAAGGGCCAAACTGCAAAGGGTGAGGTTAGAGAGTCACTCTAGTCAGTGCTTCCTCACTCTACGTATAATTTGAGTTTCCCCCTCAAATGTGTAATTCCAACATGTGGCATTACGTTGGAATTCCTTGTTTATAATTTTGGAGATTTAATTTGTGCAGTTTCTAGAGGAGGTGAAGTCCCAGTCAGAGCAAGAGCAAGGATGATGTTCTGGTTTGATTAGCCACATCTGGAGGGCTTCCCTGAGCTTCCTGGAGTATGTGTACACGAAAGCATAGAGAGCATTGAGTCCCTTTACATCAATTATTATCCCGGGAGAGCCAAGCAAACAGGAGGGGACAGGAAGGATGAAGTACAAAAGTGTGGATGAGATGTTCTCTCTTTTTTTATATTACTTTATGTACTTTGCATCCTGAGAGTGGCCCGTCCCCTTCCTCTTTTCCCCCAGAAATGGGGAGCCCCCTCCCCCTTATTAACCTTCCCCAGCATACCAAGTCACTTCAGGACTGGCCATATCTTCATTCCCTGAGGCCATGCAAGGCAGCCCTGCCAGGGGGAAGTGATCTAAAAGTAGGCAAGGGAGTCCATGTTGAAATACCCCCCCCATCTACTCTCCAGGTGCCTCATATGAAGATCATGCTGCCCATTGGCTACATGTGTGCCTAGGTCCAGATCATGCATGCTCCTTAGCTGATGTCTCATTCTCTGAAAGCTCCCATGGGACTGGGTTAGTGGTCTCTGCTGGTCTTCCTGTGAGGTTCCCGTCCCCTCCAGGTCCTTCCATCTTTCCCCCAACACTTCTGCAGGACCCCCAGAGTTCCACCCCATGCTTCACTGCCAGTCCCAATATCTGTCATGATCTGCTGTTGGCTGGTGCCTCCCAGAAGACATTCAAGTTAGGCTTCTGTCTGCAAGCATAGCAGTGTGTCCTTATTAGTGTCAGGGGCTGGCTGTCTATCATAGGGTGAGTCTCAGGTTGGGCCAATTATTGTTCGGACTTTCCCTCTATCTTTGTTACCTGATTATCCTTGCACTTCTTGTACACATGGTAACTTTTGGATCACAGGTACTTTGTAGGGGGGTTGTTGATTCCCTCTCACCCACTAGTCCTGCCTAGCTAAGAGGTGGTCACTTCAGTCTCCATGCCCCCCCCTCTAGTGTCACACCCCTATCCTCTGAGGAGCCTACCCTATATCAGCCATCCAGCTTGACCAAGAGATGTCCCTCCCCAGTTTCCATTCTTGTTCCCAGCCCTCTCACCTTGCACCCCGGTCTTCCCACATTTGATCCTCACCCTGGTTCTCCTCCCCATTCCATCTCCTGTCCAGTTCCCTCTCTTCATCCACTTCTGCTGTCTATTCTATTTCCCCTTCTGAGTAACATCTCAGCCCCCTCCCTAGCATCTGCCTTGTTACCTAGCTTCTTTGCATCTGTAAAACTCAGGTGACAACACATGTTGAGAGGATATGAAGAAGGGGAACACTCCTCCACTGCTGGTGGGAAAGTAAACTTGTACAGCCTCTCTGGAAATCAGAGAGAAAAAAATTGGGAATAGTTCTGTCTCAAGACCCAGCTATACCACTCCTGGGGCATATACTCAAAATATGCTCAACCATACAACAAGGACATTTGCTCACCTATGTTCAAAGCAGCTTTATTTGTAATAGCCAGAAACTGGAAACAACCTGGATGCCCTTCACCCAAAGAATGGATCCAGAAATTGTAGTACATTTACACAGTGGATTACACAGTGGAATACTACTCAGCTATTAAAAACAAAGATATTGTGAAATTTACAGGAAAATGGATGGAACTAGAAAAGATCAACATAAGAGAGGAAACCCAGACGCAGAAAAACAAACATGGTATGTTCTCACTTACAAGTGGATATTAGAGGATACTTATACTACAATCCACAGATCCAGAGAATTTCTGTCTTTAAAAAGGAGGCCCTTTGCCCCACCAGAAACAACCACAAGCGCGAGAATAAATAGTGAGACTTTGTGCTTTTTCTCCTCTCAAACACTGGTGCAACAAAATATCAAGACCATCATAGTTGAAGAAACCTTTTAAGAAATACTGCTGCTGAAAACTTATAGAACTGAGAGGGCAGTGAGGCTAATTTCAAGTTAGGTATGAGATTAAAGTTCCCACAGGTTTGGTTCTGAGTTTCCCACCTTAAAACATGGCTATGGTACCCTTGGAAGGAATCACTAGTTAAGAGGAAAGTGAGTTTCAGCTTAGTGTGTGGTACAGCACGTTCCTGGTAGCATATTGTAAGAAAATGCTAGAATCTTGAAAGGCAAGGTTAGGCTTCAAACCATAAAAATACTCTACTAAACCACCCAGATTTGATAAATTTCCTTTTAGCGTTTATATTTACAACATCATTCCTTAAAAGAGAGCATTTACAACCATGTTGCATATATATAAAATATATATTGCTATGGAAACTAAACATTAGTAACCTTAAAAGAGTACCAAATCCTAAACACTAGAACATCAGCCAGGGAAAAGTAACTATATTGAGCTGTTTTTCTGTTTTGCACAACACATTTTACTAACCACAGGTGAATGCAAAGATTTTTTTTTTTTTGTCAAATGTACTCATATAAATCAGATAGTAAACTAACTTATAAAAGTAAAAATTTAGATTTTTGAAATTCAGTATATTTATTGTGGAGACATCCTTGATAAATGTAGTTATTTTCAGCTCACCTTAGAGTTTTTACTTTATATCACATATGTTACACATTGGCCATAAACTTAATCTCAAAGACTAGTATACATAAAAGTAGATCATACTTAAGCTGTTTAAAATGATATGAACAAGATATTCTGGAATGTAAAGGTATCAATAATTCTATGACTTTCGTACATTTAGTTACTATTAATAATGTTTCTTAAACTAGAACATGGATCAAAATATTTAAAGTTCTCATTAAAGAGCTAAAAATGTACTGGACACACACATTTCATAAACTTGGGTGTCTTGAAAAGTAATAACATTTGTTAAACTATCTACTGTGTTAAACACTCTATTATTACATTGAATAAGTAAAAATAACATTTCCACTCATTACTAAGCATATAAAAGGTAAAGCATAAATGTGCATGGGCTTAGGCAAGATTTATCTTCCTTAGATAAGAATGACAGATCTGACTATAAATTTCCTTTCAGTAATAACATATTAAGGTTCTTATAAATAAGCAAATCTAGCTTAGGAATATATTCCATTAAAGTAATCTCATTTTTTTATAGTAATGGACAATATATCAAATAAAAGCATTAGTATCATATACACTTCTTGACTTAAGATTTATACAGAATTACTCTCAGAAAATATAGAGAGAGCTGAAATTATACTTCCATTTTTATTTTAAAGTTAGAAGTGAATGATTTCCAAAACATACAAAGTGTTCTCTGATATTATTTTAAGGATGTGTATTACATAAAGTTTCAGAGGAGTTAGTTAATTATTCAAATATTTAATAGACTTAAGGACTTATCATTAACAGTTTCTGACTCCATGTTCTTTTCTAGCTTCTTGTAGCTTTCACACTCTGGCCTCACACATGAAGGGGCCCAATGACCATGCTTGCTAGGGTTGCTTGTATTTTTTCCCTGTGTTAATTTTTCCAAAGTGTGGCTAATTACTAGCTTATAACATTAGCCAAGATGTTCCAATACATATCATATACATAGAGAAAGAAAATAAATTAACTTGACAATGATTGCTTGTTGTCTTTCTTCTACTGGCAAGAACTCTATTTTTCCAGTAGAACTTGGCATAAACAGAATTTGAAAACTAAAAAAAAAAAAAAAAAATGTAGCTATGAATTTACTTATAAAGGACAAAAATATATAAAAATAATAATGGCAGTAAAATAAATAATATCTAGCCACAAATGTTTGGCCATCAGATGCATGTTTTGACACTTTGCCTTGAGAACAACTGCAGTTCTAGCCTCTGAAATACAATAAAGTTTGGTACCAGTGTCTTAAAGATCAGTGAGTCCTGCAAGTGGTAAAAATATCTTTCTCCCAGGAAGCCAGACTTAAACCTAAAGGAACCTTCAGTTGGGAGACATTGATTTTTTTTATAGAGTCTATGAGAACTTTGTTCTTTAATACAATTACTTTAACTGCATTCCATCCACCCTTTCTCCAACTCCCCTGCTGCCTTCCTTTGTCCGTGTTCCCCTCTCAATTTTATGCCTTCTTTTTTATGCGGTTGAACTCTCTGAGTACAATTAGGATTTCACTCTCAAGTTCTTGCAAGCAAACAAGAGAACTAGCCAAAACTTCTCGTACTTAGAGGGTGTCTCTTGGGTCCTCTTGACCAACACCTGGAAGTGGGGTGTCCTACACCCAGTGCTGGGATTTTTAAGCTCTTTGCCGTCACTCTTCTTTGCTCACCAATTTCCCATTAAGGCATTATTTATAATGTAACATTTTAATTACCTCAATGACTTTCAGCTGTGTTTCTGTCTTTTTAATTGTTGTACTAAAGTTTAATGTGTACATCTAAATTTAAATTAACAATTTTCTTAATTCTAGATACACCTAAAATTTTATTTTATAGCTCTGTTTTCTTTACTGCCTTCGCATACTGTTGCTTTCATTCATTCATTCTACATGTAAAAGGCAAAATGTCTTTATCATTGATATTGTTTTTATAATTTCTAAAGAAATATAAAAGAGCCAGGCATGGTG